TTCCAAATTAACATGTACGGAAACAGTATCAATCAAAATGAATTCTGCAATGCTGAAGGTCAACATGAAGGCAAGAAGGAATGGAAGACGTTTTGTGGCAGCTGTTTACCGTGTAGCCAACAGGAGTCTCAAGTGGGGTGTTTTGTTTCTGTTGGCAACTGACATGGTAGAAAGTGAAAAGCAAGTGATGATGGTCCGTTAGAGTAGCAGGAAGCTTGATCTTGATTTCTTCATGGAAATCAGGAGATCTGTTTTGAGGTAAATAGAGATTTTATTTGTAAACAAAAAGCTTAGTTTGATTCGTTTATAAAGCAGCCCTATATCCTGCTTTTTCCTTGAAGACAGTTCGCTTCCCATCCAAGAAGTTTCCTCACTTCTGTTCACTCAGAATGGAGGAAGCGTCTTGGTTGAGAAGTGAAACGCTATCATGGAAAAACAAACTCCAGTTGCCTTTTGAGAAAGAACTTTGGGGACTGCAACAGACAATTGTCAACAATTCCAAAGTCATGCTGGCAATAGATCATAAAGTTACACGCGACATTCTGCAATCCCTCAATCAACACTACATTTGATACCCTCTCACTGAAGGCAGTTTTCGAGATTATTTACAACAGCTTCAGAACCAAAGCTCTTCCTGGTAGATCATATGGCCTCTTTGGGATTCTTTCCAAACAAAAACTTTCCCATGAAACAAACCTAATCTTGGCAGTTCTCCCTCTCCGAGGTTGGAGTGCTCTCTCTGACCTGAGAGGAAAACCCAGAAAATCTTGTGGTTCGTGGAAGACCCTTTCAAGGAGCTACAGATTGTAGTTTTAATTGCTTAAGGCTTTTTCCCACAGTGTTCAATTATTGTACTGCATTAGTTAAAGAGAACCTTTTCAGATAAAATGCCAAAAGAAAGATTTCCTGGGATAATTTCCTATTTTGAGATTTTTATTTTTTCTATGGGATGATGTATTTTCCCTATATTCATCTGCATTTTTTTAGTTAGTTAACTATTTCAGAAAATACTACAAGGTTTTTAGATGTACTCAATACTACAAGATGACAGGTTCACTCTTACGATTATTCTCCAGCTCCTGCTCACAACAATAAATATTTCATTGATTTGTTCTACTAATAAACGTTCTCCTTTCTTCAGCCTCCTAATCATGTGCAAAGGGAGAAAAAGGCTTCTATTCCTTTTCATGAGATATCACATATGCAGAAGATGTGACCTTTCTGTGTGCTTAAGCCATAATTTCAGTAATTCAGACCATCATGATTATGGGATTATGAAAGGAAAAGGCGTATGAACAAGATGCTAGAGATCAGATACATGTAGTTAGTCCTAGAATTACAACCATTTGTTCAGCAACTCTTCAAAGTTACAGGGTAGCTATGTTTGGTCTTCAAAACTACAACCATTGCATCATCCCCATGGCCACATGATCAAAATTCAGATGCTTGGTAGTGTGCTGCTTGCAGGGGCACCTCAGTTCCCTCCATCTGCCTAGATCTTCCTTATCTCTGCTCTTTTGGCTCTTTTGTTGACCCTGCCAGCCTACACTCGCTAGTCCTCCCATGCCCTGGTATCCTTGCTGCCTCCAACTGACTTTCATTATGTTTTTCAGTCACTTTTGATGAGGTGTGCCTGGACTGGCCTCGTCAAACAAGGTAGCTGCTGGCTACACTGGGCCTTCTTCCCTTGTTCAAATCCAACATGGCCTTATCCAAATCGCATGTGGCCTTCTCATCAGGTTTTGGAAAGCAGGTGCACAGAAGAAGGCCCTCGCAGCATCAGTGCAAAAGACGGTCCTTTTTAGCTGGACCCTTCTTTCATGCTGTACATCTAAGGCCTTCTTTTGTGCATTCTAAAAAGCCGCACACAATTCGGATATGAGATGGGCACCGCTTCTGGAAGAAGGCCTGGAGCAGCCAGCAGCTGCCTCACAAAGACCAGGCTGAGCGTGCCTTATCAGTAACCAGAGGAAGATGGCAAAGGTCAGCCAGGGGCAACAAGATTGGCAAGGAGGCAGGGCCAGAGAGCAGAAGGCAGCAAGGCCAGTAGAGATAGCATAATGCAAGACAGCCAAAAGGGCAGAGACCTGAGGGAAATAGGAGAGTAGGTGGAATTGAAGACGAGGTAGTCCCTTACCTTACCAAGACTTGGTGAGGCTGGGTGGAACCAATTCAGGAATGGCTTGACTTGGGGTGGGTCCTTAGCTAACAACCAGTGGGATATGGTTAACAATGGCAATAGAGATTACTGGGATTGCAGCATTAAGTGATGTAGTCACGTGACATCAGGCTTTACAGCTACATCTCTTAGCGACAGAAATTCCAGTCCTAATTGCCATTGTAATGCAAAGACTATCTGTACTTACATGATCATGGCTAGACAACTGCAGAATCTCTGCTTCATTATAATCAAAAGTATGAAATTCTTCTTATCCCGAGTTCATCTTTGTAACATATGAGTACAGAATATGTTTTGTTTCTGATCTCACAATATGATATACAGTGTCGAATGAAATAAAAAAGTTGCTTTTCAGAAAGTTTCTGCTTTTTACCTGTTATGGTAAACAACAGCTGTATAAGCTTCTTTTGAAAATTCAGCACAGCTAGATTTTCCAAAGATTACCTATAAAAATAAATGATCAAATGTATTTTCAAAAAACACTCTTTATTCTTCAGAACGGGAAAATTTACTAAGTCAAAAATGTGTATCAAGATATCTATTTATGTGGCATATACTTATAACCTTGAAAAATATAATTTAGTTTATATTTCATATAATTTAGTTTATATCAATACTGACTTGTCAAAAATAAGAATACTGGCTGCAGAAAGTTATTAATATTTCAAAAGAAAATAAATTTTGTATATTTGCTGCATATTGAGTGGTGTGAACTATGTGCAGAAGTGTGTAATTATTACTCATTTAATCACCAAGTGACTCAAGGTGGCTTTCAAGGGTTCAGATGCCATAAATAGTAAAACCAAAATCAGATAAAACTTGGATCACAAACATTTCAGCAAGTTAACCCTATTAAGTTACAAATGGAAAAGTGCAGAAATGCCGTTGAGTAGATTTAAAATAACAAGGATTAAAAACAAAATAAAGTGCGAAGTAACAAATTCTTGAATAACTAAAAAGTCTGAGAAACCAGTGATCCAGTCTGATTGTGTCTCAGCAGGAGTGCAGCCTGGTATAGCACAACATTTTGATGTGCATCTAATGTATAAAACACAGAATAGATAATTTACAGCATCAAAATCATAATGGAACAAATATACACACACACACACACACACACACACACACATACCGGCATTGCATTGCTTGGATCCTCTCCAAACATAAACTGCACTTTTACAGTAATATTCCGAGCAGATCCTTGGCGATTGGCAAAGTTAAGGCTTTGTGGATAGACATATAAAAGATTTCTACAAAATAAGAGAGAGAGAGAAAAGTATAAAAATTACATAGTGACTAGGTTATCTGAGTTATCTGTGGCTGATGAATTATAAAACCATGCATCAAATAATAGGAGATGGAAACTACTTAGCCAGAGATAATAAAAAGCTGCAGGGACAAATAAAAGTTAGCTGACACATAAACCTGTAATTAGTTAGTTGATTAGGACCCCATGAAATCAATTGGGTAAATTAGGAACAACTTAATTCTTATTGATTTCAATGTGAACTAAGCATAGCTAACTTTGATTTATTCTTTGGTTCTGTTTCCAGGTATCTGTTGAATGGGGAGAGAAGGATAAAAATTGATCACCCTCAATAAAAGCTGGCAGTGATAGAATTACACTTATGTTATGAACCAGTGATTCCCTTAAATTAACACTCAAATTTAAATCTACAATGAAGATGACATAGGCCTCTCCTTATTTCTTGAAACTATTATAAACATCTATTTATTATATTTTCTCCATGGAGAGAATATTATTATAAAAGCTTTTGATTCATGCCTTTTCATGCCTGTGAATTATTTTATTCTACAATATGTGCAATATACAAATCAACCAACCACAAACATAGTGGCTCCTTCATGTTGTTTAATCCACAATATCAAAACAGACTAAATTTGCTCTTAATAAATTAGGCTGGAAGTTTAGTAATCTTTACATTCAATATTCATGCATTGGCTTAAAAATCTGTATAGATAGAATGTTACAATGACTATTGGGGTTTCTGGGAAGGAATGGCACTATGGAGCGCATTGGAAATATCACAGAATTTCAAATCAGATGGGAAAATTTATATTTAAAAAAACCTCCTTGTGAAGTTTCCATCTTTGTTGGAAAAAATTGCCAATTCTTTTGTTGTTTGTACACATTTTTCATATAACGTTAACAACAACCAGATCTCATTATTTTTTTCAAAAATGCTAGTTTTATTAACTCTCATTTGCTGAATGATAGATGACCTTGCCAGTCAAAATAATAAAGGAATAATTATATCCATATTTGAAGCAAAAATAGGATTTGAAGATCCTTGCTAATTATATATCCCAAAGATGTGGACCACTGCTCCTGTCCTTCATGACTACCAGCTTATATGCTTAGGGTAGACTAAAAAGAAAGACCTCTGTTGTGCGTCTTGAACAGCATGCGTGACGATAAATGAATGGACATGGCAAGATCTGTATCAGTTATTCCAAATTGCTCAAAGCTTTCAAAGTTAAAATAGCACAGCTGGCATAATATGTGTGCCATGTAAACTGACAGCCACATTCACGTTGCCAAGTTCTATATCAATTGAACGTTCCAAGTCATCTTTAAAGGTAACCCTTATTTACACTTAGCATTAACATTTGCTATCAGGAAATGTTCATCAGATGGGCTCACAGAGCCTAAACAGGACACAGGTTACATTCATTCAGGTTTAATTATCAACTACCTCAACTTGAATTTTTTTTTTTTTAGGACTGAACATGCTATATGTATTTATAGGCATACTAGAACTCTCCCAGAGAAAGACAAATAGCAAAGGGGAACATTTCTTTTCCGAACTAGAATAAGCAGAAAGAACATGAAAATTATTCTAGTATTAGTCTTTATGATTTCTCTAGTAATTTCAGGTAGACTAGATGATCACTTGGAATCAGCAACTCCTGAGCCTAAGTCAAGATTTGCTATGTCTGATGATGTGCATTTGCTGGCCACTGGACTACTCCAGCTTGGGCGTGGCCTTCAAGACTTTGTGATCAAAACCAAAACCCAAATGGATGACATCTTTCAAAGGCTTAACATTTTTGACCAATCTTTTTCTGAGATCTTGCAACAAACCAATGAAATGAAAGAAGAAGAACAACAGTTAAAAAAAGCCACAACTAGATTGCAAGCAACTGAGGAAGAGATGAGAAATGAATCTTTGCAGCTTAATTCCAAAATAGACGTCCTTTCCATTGAGAAGATTCAACTGAAGAATAAATTAGGGAAACTTGAAGAAAAAATAACTGAACTTGTACAGACCCAGCTTGATATCCATGAGTCAAGAGAAATTGCCTCACTTAAAGTAAGTAGAAATGAAACATACTGAGTATTGACAAAGTAAATTGTATTCTGTGTAATGAGGTAATTCAAAAAGATTTAGTCATTCCTGTTGCTTCTGGACTAATGTGCTGCATTTTTAAGGAATAAAACCAGCTTTTTTCTTAATGCTGCTTTATTGTGCTTTGAATGCTACCCATAGCCATTAAGGGAATATATAGCATGTAAAAAGTCTTAAAAATAAAGAAAGTAATGACTGCTTCTTGAAAAAAAAAATTGCTCTGGCAGTTTGCCTTATTAACATACAATGTAAGTTACTACTTTTGAGTTTGGCTTAACTGTGAATATTTAAACTAAAAGATGTAATTAATAAGTGATAATTTTATGCCAAAAAAAAAGAATAATAAAGTTAGCAAACTGCCTTTTCCTTCACCCTATAATGCTAATAGGTATGTGCTTTTTAAATAATTCATTTGTACAGTTCATAAGGAAGAAATTGACATTCCTTCACTTTTCAAAACCTACAGCTCAATTCCAGGCATAAAAATTGCATCTTAAAGTTGTTAATCTGATTTTATATACTGAAGTTGGCCAGTAAAATTTGAAAGATCATTTTAAAAATAAGAATACCACATTTGCTTACTTCTACAGCCAGCTTCAATAATACATTTCTGAGATACAGTGTAATTATGGTACATGCATTAATATTTTAGCCATTAGCTGAAATGGACTAGAATGGTACAGTTTGAGTTAGCAGACCATACTGTTTACAGCTCTGAAATGTGAAAAAGCTGTCCAAAACTGAACATATAAATAAATAAAAACAATGCTTTCCTGAAAGATATACCACAGATAGCACTTGGAGACAATGCAGTCAACAATTGAATAATATCCACTGCGCTTTGTGGACAACTTTTTAATATGATTATCAAATTTATATACCAATCACTGATGCAGAAAGAGAGGAGGCTGCTGCGTTTTGTGATCAAGTTCAACCTAAAATCAATAGAATATTCAAGCAGCAGGCTGGAGAGTTGAGTGCCAAAGTTGGAAATACTAAGAAGAAATATATAATTGGACTGAATTGCCTAAGACAGAAAATGAAGCAGGAGAATTTCTGGCAATCCAATGAGTTCTTTATCATCAGTCTTCAATCAAAATGATGTCTATATACTGTACATGGATTTTAGTTGAAGATGCACACTGAAATCAAATTGATTACATTATTAGTACAAGAAGATGGAACAGCTCAATTATAATGACATGGCTAGGATTGATTGCGGAATAGATTAAAAACTGTTCATGTCCAACTCAAATTAAAGTGGAACTACTAAGCCAATCCATTTCCATGATATAATCTTCAGCATATATTCACCATTATCAAGGAGAACATGAGGAACTGCTTTGAAGTCCTGAACTTCATTGAGAACCAGAAGAATAAGGAATCTAATCAAAGTAAGTTTTTAAGGATGAATTTGAAAAGAGATTGCCAAGGCTGAGAATCAGAAGAAAGCAAACTGGATATCAGAAGAAATGGCAACAAAAGGAAGAGAAAAATCAAAGAAGAAAAAAATTCAAGGAGAAACTGTCCATGAATTAAAAGCAGTATTATGATGATAACTTTAAGCATATAGAATATGGGCACAAAAAAACCAAAATCTTCCAAAGCATTTCTAATCTCAGGAGTTTCTTGTCTCAAATTGGTATGCTAAGATTAGAAAGGGTCAGTCAAAAGGAACCTTAGCAGAATGTGCAAACTGTCACACAATATACAGTATTTTATGTGTTTCACAATGCTTAGAATTATCCACTGCAGATTACAGCTCAACATGGAAGATGAGCAGGTTCAAAATATTGTTTTGGAACATTAGCTCTCTTTAGTGGTGGGATTCAAATTTTTTTATTACCAGTTCTGTGGGCGTGGCTTGGTGGGCGTGGCAGGGGAAGGATACTGTAAAATCTCCAGTCAGAGATGGTATTTGCCGGTTCTCCAAACTACTCAAAATTTCAGCTAACGGTTCTCCAGAACTGGTCAGAACCTTCTGAATACCACCTCTGGCTCTCTTGAGAAGACAACAATGCTAGGAAAAGGGGAAGGAAAGAGACAAGATGACAGCAATAAAATAGATAGACTTGATTACAGAGATAATGGATAGTGTTATTAGAAGACTTGAAGGGTCATATGGGGACTGATTATTCTGAAGAGTGTTACATAAATGATCACTAACTGACAGCAATTTGATGACACATAATCTATCAATCAAACATACTGTATGCTATCCTCATTTTTCATCCATAAACTTCAGAAGACTGCACCCTAGGGAAAGCTTGCTATACTAGCCTATGTCAATTTCTTAAACTTGAGGCCTTCCATGTATATTGGACTATGGTTCTTTTCAACATATATTGAGATGACTTAAGGACACACTGGCCAAGAAATGATAAAATTTTTAATTCAGTGTGCCTGGAATAGGCCAAGTAGCGAAAACCATTTTATTATACGTATATATTGAATATAATCTTTATTAATTTTGGTCACAAGAGTAATAATAGGGAAAGAGAAAAGAAAAAAAGAATATACATACATACATACATACATAAATACATACATACGGGGCGAGAGTTCCAATCTTCATTATAAGTATAAACAAATTTTGTAATATTCACCCATGTAAGATTATAGTGTAAAAAAGTACAGTGATTTTGGTAGAAATGAGTGGGAAGATGGGCAACAGAACACTCAACTGGAGAAATGGAAGTATATTTTTAAACGTGCCCAATGATGGATATATTTAATGGATTTTTGAGACAGCTGGCATAAGGATTTCTACATGGATTGTGATTGCCAAACATTTATTAAAACATAAGGCAATAGTTTTGAGAAAACTGATTTGCCCATCTACTTGGAGAAGCACTTCTGGTTTGGCAAATAACACTAGGTAATGAGTTTATCTGGTTAAGCTCTTGTATAAAATCTCTGCTGCTTATACTTCTGCAAAAAGTAATATAGATATATTTTATGCTTCAGATTATGATCCTTTAGGTCTAAGCTATTGTTTTTGCTTTCTCTATAGAATTTTGTTGAACAGCAAGATGGCCACCTCAAACACCTTCTCAAAATTGTTCAATTACAACATGCTCAGCTCACAAAACAGCAAGAGCAAATACAGGACCTGGAGGAAAAGGTAAAATTGCTGAATTTTAATAGCAATTTCTAATCTAGGTGAAATTTCTAAGGGTTCAAGTGACTTATAAGAAGGAAAGAAAACCGCAGCTTACAGAAAGTTTTTATACAGTAATTTCTACATAGTCTAATGACTCCAACTTTCAGCTTTCATAATCTCATTCCTATATATGAAAGATTAAGTTTACCAACAACCAAGGTACAATTATTTAAAGAGCCAGGATTGAGAACTCTAACTATACTTGAGTTTGCCATATTTAATATGAGAACGCAGAGGATTTTTATTCACGTTTAAGGCTTGTTGCATTCAAACGAGCTTCATCAGAACACATATTTAGGATTGCAGATTTCATTTTCTGTGTACCATAAGAGGATTCAATTACTGGGTTCATATATCATGCAAATTATAAGTTGGTTTGTTTGGTCAACAAATTATGTGAATTCAGTCACTGTCTAGATAAATTATGGATTATGGATTAGCATGTGTATGAATACCACCCATGCAGCTCTTTAAAAAGTCTAGTGTTTTCTAGTTGAAAGAATTTACTGCTCATTGAATTGGTTAAAGGAAGCTATCTTAATATACCAGATTTGGGCTGCAAATACTTGAACAACTACCAGATGGGAACAGTTAGTTTTCTCCAGGTATTTTAGCCCTAAAATGGCTAAGTTTAACTTCATCACATGACATGGTTGATACTGCTGTCCCTAGTCAAATTAATTCTTTGCATGTTTTTTTTCCTTTCTGATAACTTTTTTTTTGGCAGAAGACATAGCTTTCACTCAAGCATGCAGCTTCATAGTTTCATATCACAACTCTGAATGTAATATAGGTGGTCAGAACAGACGTATGCAAGAATTTTTGTCCCCAAATTTTTTCCTGGCCTACAAAGATAAAGGGACTCTTGTCTTTCCCTCCCTGCCCAACCCTGGTGCTCCAATAATTTGAGCTCCAAAGTGTTCTGAGAACAGGTAACCTGCCTTACTAATGAAGTATAGATGTAGAAGTAATTTCTTTCTATTTTCAGATAAACAGCCCCAATTTTCAAGAGGACTCACAGTTATTTTCTGCGAAGGAAGATGACAGACTTCCTAAATTGAAAAAAACAGCTAAAAATAGAAATTCTAGAGGTAGATGTGCTTATGGATTTTTTTTTAAAGTAATTCTAGTGTTTGGAATACAGCACTATTTTAGAATACTATTCTGGTGTATGCTTTGATACCAATAGTGTGCATGTAAGAAACAGATTTGATTGATTATGCTTATTATTCTCCCAACAACACTAAAAAGCATTTAGTTAAAAATAAAGGTGAGATCTGAAATAGAAAGTTGTGTCTTACCTATCTCCTGAAATAAGATTAAGTGTTCTTGTTAATCCTTTCCTCCAAAACAAGACATTCTATTCAATCTCCCATGATTCTCTTATTGAAACAGCTGTACTAGCCTCTAGCTATTTTCTGGGTACAATTCAGAGTTCTGGCAAAGATCTTTAAAGTCCTGAATGGTTTGTTGTTGTCTATTTATGACTTGATTAACATTATTTTGTCTGCCAGTAATGGCTTTTTTAGGAATTTTTTAAAGTTCATATTTCTGTTAGTGGCACATTATCTTCTCTTTGGTTCCTTTTCAAATGCCTTTGATTTTTACAAGTATTCTGGATTTTCTTTAATTACTCTTTTATCTTCATATTATGTGACCAAAATTTTAGCACTTTTATGGCTTCCAGAAAGCAATCAGATTTCACTTCATCTAGAACTGAATTATTTGTTCTTCTTACAAAGAGGCATTTTCAACCATTTTCTCCGGCACCATAATTCAAAGGCATCAGTTTTAATTAATTCAGACTTTCTGGTGGTCTAGTTTTTAGCCACATGTTGAAACTGGAAAACCATGGCTTTGACGACAAATAGGAATAGTTTGAAGTCAGAATATTTGAAAGGCTCCCTATTCTATATCAAACTGCAAATCCACAAAAATCATCTTCAGAGGACTCCTTGTTTGTCCCTACAATTCCAGAGAACCTTGATCTGCTTCATGCTATCAGATAGACTTGTCTCATTTCCTCACTAAAAGCTTTTGGAAGTTATGAAAAAAAAATTCTCTTTGCCTTAGGATAGTCATCCTGCGATTTCCTGCTGCTGTTTTTATCAAACTGGCTTGTAATTTATTATTTTTTAATCACTGCTATATATCACATGACTGCACCCAACTTAAGCCATTTGTTTTTGCTGCAATCATTAATCAACACACTGTGGGTAGTTAAGTGTAGTGTTATGTGGCCGTGACATGCGACTTCCTGTTGGCTTCCCCATTTACTTGTTGGAAGCCAGTGGAGAAGGTCACAAATGATGACCATGACACACTGTGACTATAGTGAATCCTTGTTGGTTGCCAAATTTCCAAATTGGGACCATATGAATGACTGTGAGGATGATGCAATGGTTGCAAGTTTGGGGACTAGTTGTAAATCTCATTTTTCAAAACTGTTGTAACTTTGAATGGTCACTGAATGAGCATTCAGTAAGTGAGGATAACCTGTTGTCATGTCCCTTTTTTCATTCCACAAGATATTTAAGTACATGTGAATGTCATTCTCATAAGCCTTTATTTCCAAATGTTAAAAAAATATTAAATAGATTCAAAGTTTGTTTAAATTACTGCTCAAAAAAGTAATGTACATTCTGAAAATATTGCACAGATTTTCCTAAATTTCTGTTTCTTTTAGGTAATGCTACTGATTGTACTTGGATTTACAATGCAGGGGAAAGATCTAATGGCATTTATTCTATTAAGCCCAATGGATCCAAGGCATTTAATGTTTATTGTGAAATGGAAGGAGGTATGTCCTGTTACATTAGCTGTCTTCTTTTTAAAAATCAAATTCTTACCTTTTTGCAAAGTGCTGACTTCCTTATATATTTCTTTATTAAACAAACTTGCTGTCATCACTCTTATTTGCTGAGAATGCAATTTTAATCAAATAATAAGTAGCACGGGGTTATTTGGATTTTTAACTATAGTTGATGGTTGTTTAGTTTAGAAAATATGTAAATCACTAAGTCATTGTCCAATTGGGCTAGACAAATGCATATTATAATTGTCTCCGAATAGAGACTAAATTGGATAGATTGAAGTTCATGCAGAAATGCAAATTCAGTCAACGTCGTGCAAATAATTTTTTTTGTTAAAGTGTACTCCAGCTCTCTTCTGCATACAATCTGATGTACAGCATTCATACAGATATATTATACTTTGCAAGCTCTAAAAATGATTTAAAACAATCAAATGGTTGTATTAATAGTTAATCATCTTCATCCACAGAAAACCCATGGACAATTATTCAGAAGAGATCTGATGGATCAGTAGATTTCAACCAAACTTGGGAGAGCTATATAGATGGGTTTGGTAATCTTGATGGTAAATATATTTTACAGTTTTCTCGAAGTAACATTTATGTGTTTGTTGACTATAGTTTTTGAAAGGAGAAGAAAAACCCTAGACCAAGGGTCTTCAAACACGCTAAGTTTAAGACTTGTGGACTTCAACTCCCAGAATTCCTGAGCTAACATGACTGGAGGAGGAATTCTGGGAGTTGAAGTCCACAAGTCTTAAAGCTATCAAGTTTGAAGACCCCTGCCCTAGACATCAGTAAATGAGATTACTTATTTGCTTCATAAGTGGTTGGTCTCAGAATTGTTTACTCTTTTCCCTCCCTTCAACCTTGTCTATTTAAATTCCTAAGCACAGGACACCAGTCATATAAATTATTACAAGCACATTTAAATAGATTTGATTTAAACAAGTACAGATCTAGTTAGTCATAAATGTAGATTTGAATAGATTCTATTAATGCACATGCCACAAGCATTTCTAAAAGAGGCATGAAATTTGTTCAGTTCCTTTCTAAGATTTTCAGGTGAGAATGAAATGGAATGTTAGGGTTTAACACTTTTTTCCTGGAAATAGTATAGAACAGAAATAAGGAAAAAGATGAGATTTTTAGCATCTTTGGAACCTGAGTCGTTGAACACAGATTTGAAATTAGAAAAGTCTATAAAGCCTACATGAGTGAGATCAAAGCCATAAGTTATAAACTTAATGGCCAGTTTGCAATGTAAAATAACAATTAATGAAGCATAGCTTGCTGCAGTGAAACTTGCTTATATAATAAATATATCAAGTTTTAAAGTTTCAAGACTGTTGTCTTTGCTGTAGCAGATTCATACAGCTATTCTGTTCAAAACTCTATTTTGTTAAGCAATGTTTTTCTCTGTTTCTCTTAAACATGCTGCTTATTCAATAAGGTTTACTTCTCAGGCTTATGCTCTACACAGTCCACTTAAAATGCAAAATTTATGTGTGTCATAATATTGCAAATGAATTCAATATCCATTAAGGGTATTTCTTCCCCCCCTTCACTTATTACACAGATTCACTTACATGTATACTTTATTTAAGAATGCCTTTACCGTCCTTTGCAGACTTTTTCAAAGTCCTTTTCTATTTATACTTAGCTTTAGTTTCCTGCTTTATTGTTCATTGATGAATATTGTAAAAGGGATAAACCTTTTGTAGATGATCCAAAGTTCAAGGACTTCCAAGACTCAAGCTGACTGTGTAATTCATGCAACTCTCAAATCTAGCACTAAAGCTTGCATCTTCTTCTCGGATCTGCCTTAATTGTTCTGTTTGTACACTTGTATTTTCAGGAGAATTTTGGTTGGGCCTTCAAAAGATCTATTCCATTGTAGATCAAGCTGACTACATTCTGCGTATTGAGCTTGAAGACTGGAAAGCTAACAAACGTTATATTGAGTATACATTCAAAATGGGAGGTCCAAACAGAGATTATGCGCTCTTTCTCTCAAGGATTACTGGGAATATTCCAAATGCTCTACCTGAACAGAAAGAAATTAAATTTTCTACTAAAGATCATAGCAACAGCACTGAAAGAAAGCTTAACTGCACAGAAAGTGACACAGGTAGATTATTTTCTGTATATGCCAGTGTTTTAAATTTTCTTATAATCTGGGAAAAAAGTGCCAGGGGGTAAGATTTTCATAAATGTACTTTGCTAAGAATAAAACACTAACAATATAGTGAGAGAGGGAGGGAGGGAGGGAGAGAGGAAAGAAGGAAGGAAGGCAAAAAGCAAATGAAGGAAAAAATAAAAAATATATATGAAAGAGGATTAAATGTCCCTTCAATTTTAAAAAAGTGTATTGCATGCAATAAGGTAGTACACAATAGACAACCCAATGTTTTAGCCCATTTCACATAATAGCTTTCCACAGATTGAGATAATTTAAAGAATATATCATGTTACTTTCTGTCAGCACAGAAAGCATTACCCTGAAGTTCTCCTGAATATGTAATTGTCTCCAGATAACCTGATTAGAAAAGGTTTTCTTCAAAATACAGTTGCTGTCATCTAGTTACCTTAAAAGGTTTTATGTATTTTTCCATGTGGTTAATATATTGGTATATCAATTCAATGATGTTTCTATTATGAACGTCAGGTGGTTGGTGGTACAATGTATGTGAAGAAACAAACCTGAATGGAAGATACATCAGGTCAAGCTCAAAAGGAAAATTAGAGAGGAAGAAACGAGGACTGTATTGGAAGCCTCAGAAAGGAAAACCTTATCTTCTCAAGGCAACCAAACTGATGATATATCCTACAGATTTTGAAACATTTGACTGAGCATTATCAAAGTTTACCTAAGAAACTGCAAGTACTTCAGTCAGATTCTAGCGACAGCCCTTTCTGGTGTACAAAGAAAATAATATTAATGATGTAATCAAATCATAATAATATTCTTCCTTTGGCTATATTATTTCAGTGTGCTTTGTCCTGCTCCATATGGTCAAGAAATAAGCAGAGCTTTGCTGTGAGACAAGGTCAATTATCCTTGAGGGCCACTTTAGTAGAATATTTCTTAGCATCAATGCTACCTCAAGAAAGACAGGAAAATGGAAAGTTCTCACACCTTCCTTGGAACAAGATTGTGCATTAGGGAGGGAAGGTGAATCACCACTACTTCACTTCTGTGAAGTGTGGGATTGGGGAGGGGGGAAATTTTGTCTCACAGGATGAGGTAGAAAGTGTCTAATCCGATAAGGAATCACTATATTCATTTTTGCCAAGGATAGTAGTGGTCTCTATTCACTTCTTTGCAGGGAGATCAAACTGTGTTTTTTCAAACAGAAGGGCAGGGGACAGCAATCTTAATGCTTTAGGCACAGGACAAGCTTTTTCTCTTTCTTTATTTAGTTTTATGCTTTATTTCAGTTCCCTAAAGCAAAATGTGGGCTGCTTTTTTGCATATGGGAGCCAACAGAGGAATGTATCCTTGGAGTTGTTTAACAAAAGAAAATAGAAGTATGAAGTTTAGTAGAGGCTTAACATATCTATTTTCTTCTCTTGTTTTTTTTTTTAACGAAACTATCACAAATATGATCTGGGCAAGGATTAGAGAGACTTGGGTTGGCTGCATATGGAATATAGACCATGGATTTTCCATCTCTTGTTAAGCAGGAAGCAAAGGAGATGCCTAAAATTGGAAGTCATTTAAGGGGGAAACAGACAAGTTATGTTGTTCCTAGCTGTACAGCTCTGTTCATAAAATCCAAGCAAAATCTTCCACTGAAATGAATTACATAAAACAAATGAGCCTCATGTTCAAAAAGTTCAGCTGGGACATAAACATTGTGCATCAAATTGGGATTGCACAACCTGCAAAGTGTACCCCTTTATTCATTTTTTTCTGTATACAACAGCCTTCCCTAGCTTTGTGTTCCCTCTCTGTGGTGTCTACATATGTTGGGCTCAAGTATTAAATAAACAGACTGGTTGGGAACCTGGAGTATTGCTCTGACATCCCTGACATTCATCCTTTGGGAGAAATGTGACTTCCTAAATATAAATATCTTAAATATCACCCTAGTGGACATAACTAGTTCTGAGAAACTAATCTCTAATGAGGGAAAACCAATATGTGTATTGTCTGCCGCATTAAAACCTTTCACTTTAAGTCTAATATTCCTCCTCACTTTTCTAATAATATAAATATCTTTATGTCACAATGGCTTCTTAAAATAGGCTTCGATTAAGAAGATAACTTCAAATAGCTCCTTGTTATTTCAAAATTGTAAATTATAAATTATTGCAATTACAATACAGATAACTACATTATGGTACAGAATGCTTGACTTGTATTTTTGAATTTTGTTGTTGCTGATGATTGTTTGATAAACCACCACAAATTTGTAAATGAATTGGTGGTATACCAGTAGAGTAAATGAAGGAATAAATAAGCAGGCTTCCTGTTAAAATAATATATACTTATATACATATATACTTATATACATATACATATACACATACACACACACATGTGTGTGTGTGTGTGTGTTATTCAGCTTTGTTCAAGTATTTTCCCACGTCATTATAGTTGTGCTTTTAAAGTTGTAGCAACGTTTCAGTAGAATCTCATCTGCCATCATCAGGCTTCTGTATTGTGTTCGTCTGACGAACAGATGAACACTATACAGAAGCCTGATGATGGCAGATGAGATTCTGCCGAAACGTTGCTACAACGTTAAAAGCACAACTACAATGACGTGGGAAAATACCCGAACAAAGCTGAATGCCGTACATACACACACACACACACACACACACACAGACACACACATATACATATACACACACATACATTTCTAAAGTTCCTCCCAAATGTGAGAACAAATCCAATTATATATGTCACTGGAAGTATACAAAATTTGAATCAGAGTATCATGCTTATGCCATTAAATTACAGTATTTTGATGTCATTATCTATATAATTAATATTGACAATAATGTTAAACATTTAGGCCTATGACAGATTAAGTTAGAATAGTTCTGTGAGAAATTATCTCTAACTGCAATTCTGAAAACAACTGATGGTTTATAAAACCATGAAAATTACTTGCTAAAGTGGAAAAACAATCCTTAGATTTACACCAGCAATTTTGTTTTAATCAGTGGACTTTCAGAGGGCTTTCAGATAGATGTAAACAATACACCCCAACTAAATATTTTTTTCTAATACATGCCAACAACATAGATTAAATGTGCACATTGCCAAAAGAAAAACTATGTTAATGGACAATGCATACAAAATATATGTTTCATGCTTGCAGTTCAAGTCTTCACAGAAATGTCTTTTTAATGTGAATTTTCTTTTTTAGGCTGAGTTATTAGTATTGTATCTGGGCAATTACATAAGATTGTATATTATCTAATTAAAAATCTGTACCCATTTGAATCATTTTAATAGTTCAATAAAAAGACTGTAGAGCTATATTTCATTTATACCATCTTTCAGTTTACAATAATAACCAGAGGTTTGTTTGGTGGTAATTATATCACAATGTGATACTAAAATATTATATCTATAATGAAGTATTTTAAAAGTCAACATAAAATGACCATACAGTGTAGAATCCCATATCAAAATTAAGTGGCACTGTTTTTAAATTTAGAAATCAGTGCTTTTAAAGCAAGGAAACATCTTTTAGCAGTTAGGCATTCTGATTCAAAAGTTGTATCCTAAGATATCAGTTATTGGGGGACTTTTATCTGGAGGATAGCTATGGATGTTCAATATTATGACCAATTAAATGAAAGCAGAATAACATCACCTGTTCCTGGGAAAGAGTACTGGAGAGAAACTGTCTTTTACTCTCTCACTGCTTACCTGTGCATGGATATTATTTATTGCAGGATCAATGTTTGTGTGCCCCTGACAATGATCACCTGCCCTAGGACTGCTTTTCCAACAACGTTATTTCTTGATAGTTTTTTTTTTTTAAAAAATCACTGACTAATGCTTTTTCTATCATTGCTTCTCACACAGCTGCTATCTGCTCTATCTCCAGTATTTAAGATTAGGAAATCTGGGCTGCAAAAATCTGGATGGTCACTAGATGGTAGCAATGAGTTCAGAATTTTCTCTCTTTAATGCTATCTAGGTTGGTTGGAAGTACAACAGCCCTTTTAAGAGACTGCGCTGGCACAAACAGCAATGAATATGAAGAGGTTCTGTCACACTACTGCTCACATAAACTGATTGTTCACACTGCTATTGCTGCTGGCAAGCTGAGATGGATTCCTGAAAACTGAGGCCTTTTCTTCATGTTGAAGAGTTTGCTTCCTATATGACACATGTTGCTCAAGTCAGAACATCTGGTAACACGAAGTACATTCCCTAACTATTTGCATTTGGGCTCTATAGAAAATCTATGAAAACACTTGTGATTTCCCCCAAGCTTTTAACTATTAAATTATTTATCCATTTTAGTGTTATTTTAATAAGTTGTTCATGTTTATATTCTTTGTTTTGGGGGGGGGGAGTTAGTGGCCTTGATTACATGGCAAAGGAGAAAGGTAGAATATCATCTATTAAATAAATGAAAAATAATAATTAAAGAAAATAACAACACAAAGCAATTCTGTCCAAAGATATTAAATGCAAATTCTGCAACTACTGAAGAAAATCCATATTATATTTTCCTATATATTAGTCTGCTACCCAGAATCTTATTTAATATACTTGTTTGAGTGGACACATGTTATTACTATGCAGCAATCTATAAAATATAAAGAAAGGAGTTTAAATCTGCAACTAAATGAATAAGTAGCTGGAGGTTTATTCCTTCTCTTTGAAAGGTGAGACATAATTCAATTGTAAACCATAATCTCAATAGAAAAAAAAATCTGGCATAAAGTTCATGTTTTTATTATAGATATATTATTCGGTACCATTCTGTCCTTGCTAGGACTTTTACTCGCATTGATTTATTGCATACTACCTAATGGTTGGTTGACTGCAACTATTATCCCTCTTCCCCAATCCCTAAAACATATATAGTTGTAAGAGATAAAATTACCTCCCAAACGTTCTTCCTGATATGGCATTGAAGATGATTAAATTTCTCCTTCAGAAATTAGAAATTTGGCTTGCTCCCTCCAAGAACTCTCAAGTTTTAGAAAAGGTTGTTCCACAGGTTTCCCTAGCAAAATGCTTCTTGAAGAACTACTGCATTTTTTGTTAAATTGTATATTATCATTCATAATGGTCAAAGCGCTAAGCCAGGGGTGTCCAACCCTGGCAACTTTAAGACTTGTGGACTTCAACTCCCAGAAAAAGCTGGCTGAGGAATTCTGGGAGTTGAAGTCCACAAGTCTTAAAGTTCCAAGGTTGGACACCCCTGAGCTAAGCTAAAGAAAAAAAGTTTGGTGTAGTGGTGAGGGCATCAAGGTAGCAATTGGGAAAATATGAGTTCCAGTCTTGATTTAAGCGCAAAGCCAGCTGGGTGACCTTCAGCCACTCATTATCTCTCAGCCCTAGGAAGAAGGCAACGGCAAACCACTTCTAAAATTTTACCAAAAAGTCCTGCAGGGATTTGTCCAGGCCGTTACCAGGAGTCAACACTGACTCAAAGGCGCATGTGCGCGTATGCACACACACACACACACAAACTGAAGTGGTTTTAAATAAGATTATAATGAAAAGACCAAAGGTTTAATTCTGACATACTATTCAAAGCATGTGATACTGTTCTTGCTTTGCCTGAAGGAGCACATTGAAAATTGAAATAATAATGCACAGATTTGATTAGCCAAGAGCTCAACAAATTCAGATAAACTAGCAAATCCATTAGGAAAAATTACTCTTTTCTGGCCCAGTT